TATTCTTGTGGGGGAAGGGGTCTGGGTGTGCTGGAAGAGACTGGACAAAAATCATTTACCTATGGATGAGTACAGTGCAGGGGGCGGGGTGGTAAGGGCAGAGGGTGGTGTGGGAACCAAGTGGAGGGAAGCTATGGGGGGGAAAAAAGAGGAACAACTGTAATAATCTGAACAATAAAGATTTAATTTAAAAAAAGGAACAAAATAAAGACAAGTTAAACGGAATGAAGAAATCCCTGCAAGGTGGAAAACAACATGCCTATATGAATGTCAATAGAGATTTATCTTCTAACACAATGTAAAATTTCAAATATGATTTTCATACTATTTCATAGTGGCTCGAACTGCACATTGGCATCACCTGGGAGCTTTTAGGAATACCAGTTCCCAGACCTCAAGACTGAAAATCTTCATTTAGTTGGTCTGAAGAGGTCCTGACATCAGTATTATTAGGTTCCCAAAGTGATTTAATGGACACTCAAGGTTTATAACCATTGCTATGAAGTATTTTTAAAAATAATAGAAACAATTTAGCTTTCATTTAGAATTAAAGTCTATATTGTAATATTTGGAACTGCCATTTCTAGGAGACTATTCAGTTTATTCTAATGTAAAATGGAGCTAGTTTATATGCAACTTTGACAAATAGTTTTACTTGATACAATATACTTACATGGTTCATCCTATAAGGAAATTCCTTTGGAAAGGCATATGAAAATCTAGTTTTTACTGGAGAAAACAAAAAACAAAACAGTAAATGAGAAAGTAAATTAACCCCAAATTTCTTTAACACTTTGTATAGTATTAAAGGTAGGGCTTAATCATTTTTAGTAGGGAGCTTGGAGACACTTAGAAACCCAGATTTTCTTGCTTTTAGGTGAGCAGAATGAGTGGCAGGAAGTCCCAGGCCCCCATCCATATTACAATTACAGAGCCTCAATTAAATAATGCTATAACCAAATATGAAAAGATACTTTTTTTTAAGGAATAACTTTTTTATCCAATATTCTTAAGCCAAAACTTCCATGTGGTCGTTTAGCTTAGAAGGAATCTGTTCACAAAAATATCTATACTAATAAAAGAGTAATATGCTAATTAGACCGTGTGGACCGGACATCCGACTTCCTTCCAGACAAAGCCACGGTGGTGGGGGCCGAGACAGAGGTGGTTAGGGGCGATCAGGCTGGCAGGGGAGCAAGCAGTTAGGGGTGAGATCAGGTTGGTGCAGGGGAGCAAGCAGTTAGGGGCAAGATCAGGCCAGCGCCGGGGAGCAAGTGTCATGATTGCCCCCAAACTGCCCTCCCCTGCCAGCCTGATCACCCCCAACTGCTCTCCCCTGCTGGCCTGATCACCCCCTAACTGCTTGCTCCCCTGCGCCAGCCTGATCTCGCCCCTGACCGGGAATCGAACCAGCAACCTTTCGGTGCATGGGACAAAGCTCAACCAACCGAACCACTCCAGCTGGGCTTAACTTTATTTTTCATCAAGTATAATAGCCATGAAGGTCAGTGACCTCAGGAGATTTATTAAACCCAAATAATCTGTCACAGGTCTTATAAACTGAAAAACATCCATGCCCTACGGAGCTCTCCTAAGAGTTATATCCTTAAAGCAGGATATACTTTTTGCACTTACATACAGAAGTAGCAGCAGCAGTCAGTCTTGTATTTGAGACAACTCCAAATTCCTAGAGAAAAAAAAAGTGGTCAAGATCAGGAACATAGAAAGCCAATGAACTCAAGGGTATTTGAGATCTATTCAAAACAGAATATTTCCTATGTTTCCTCCTTGTTTATATTTTACCTATTTATTTTTAATCCTCACCTAAAGATATTTTTTCCATTGATTTTCAGAGAGAGTGGTAGGGAGGGAGGAGACAGAGAAAAACATGTGAGAAGCATTGATGTGAGAGAGACACATCAATTGGTTGCCACTGGCAGGCATCCCAACCAGGACCGGGGATGGAGCCTACAACTGAGGTATGTGACCTTCACTGGAATTGAACCTGCAACCCTTTAGTCCGAGGGTCAATGCTCTAACCACTGAACTAAATCGGCCAGGGCTCCCCTCATATTTATATTGTCTATTTATCTTCTATGTACTTGAGGTATGATGTACTTAAATCTCTAAATGCATTACCTTTCCTTAAAATTGCTTCAATTTAAGTGTTTAAAAAATTTTAATTTAACATCACTGAAAGATACCAGATTAGAAGCCAGGGACATGATAGTTTTCTGCACTCAAATTAGCTTCCAAGGAGATTTTTTAGATTCTGCCCTTAATTGCAAGAATATTAAGTGTTGTTCTTATTCAACTGGACCTGGACTAACAAATATTTCATGCCATTTAATAATAAAGCAGTTGAATTTCTGAAGAAAATAAACTTTAATATCACCAAAAGAACTCAAAAGACCACACAATTATTCTTTTTGAAACAGCAAGAGAAGAATGATATAGTATAAGACTTCCAATGTCAGTTCCCATTTCTTCTTTGAGCTTAATATACCAACATTCTAAAAATGACTAAAATCTATGAGGTGATCCACCTTACATATATTGCCTCATTTAATGTAATCAACCTAATAAGATGACTAAAATATGTTTTAAAAAAAGATTACTAAAGCCTTCATTTCATTTTATTTTTTTAATAAATATATATTTTATTGAGTTTTTTACAGAGAGGAAGGGAGAGGGATAGAGAGTAAGAAACATCCATGAGAGAGAAATATCGATCGGCTGCCTCCTGCATACCCCCTACTGGGGATGTACCCGCAACCAAGGTACATGCCCTTGACTGGAATTGAACCTGGGACCCTTCAGTCTGCTCTATCCACTGAGCCAAACTGGTTAGGGCTTCATTTCATTTTAAAACAAAAATTAAGAATTGGTTCCTTAGCCAACAAAGAAACTAAAGTAAATCTAGTCTATTCAAATACCTTCAACTTACATCCTTATCCTTGGACAAGGGAGGGCAGCGGGGCATGTATGTATGTATATATATCTATATTCACATTTAAACCTCAAACTATAATAACTAAGATTAAAAAGTAAACACCTGAGACATCTTCTTAAGTACCATTTCCATTTAATTTCCACACAACTGGTCAACACAAAGAAAGATTTGGTCATAAAGATAAAAAAAAAATAAAGCTATAACCAAATATGAAGATACATTTTTTTAGGAATAATTTTTTATTATTTTTTGGATAAAAATAATTATACACACACACACACACACACATATTTGATTTTAGAAAGGAAGGGAGAGGGAGAGATAACAACATCAATGATGAGAGAGAATCATAAATCGGTTGCCTTCTGCATGCCCCCTACTGACACTGAGCCCCAAACCAGGGCATATGTCCTGACCAGGAATTGAACCTTAACCTTCTGGTTCATAAGTTGAGGCTCAACCACTGAGCCACACTAGCTGGGCTATGCAAAATTCTTAAGGCGAAAACTTTCAATAAATTGTAAAATAGGATTCTACTTAGAAAATCATATAACAAAAAAATATAAAGAAACAAGACAAATTAAGAGAAGTTTATAAAATTTTGTCTAGGTTCCCATACTGATTGTGCTTCCAATACATAAAATTACATGATAATACTTGGAAAAATCACCCCACAATACGGGCTTTTTATAAACATTTTGTCTTCCACTGAAAAACTTAACAACAAAGCTGGTTCTGCCTCCTTAAACTATCACTTACAATTAGAAAACCTTAAACCTCTAGAAAGCTTGTCTTAATATAATTTCTAATAGAGTCAACTCTCATTATTTTAGGTAATATGCAGGAAAGATATCATGAACAATCCTAAATAATGGCTAAAATAAAATTCAAAATGAGTATCAAAAAGAATGTAAACTTACTTGGTTAAAATTACATTCAATATTCAAGGATACAATTACTATTCTAAAGCTGTGAGCTAAAAACAGAAACATAACACAAAAGTTTCATAATGCTAAAGACTGCATAGATTATTATGTAAACCAGTCAATGTCTGCTACTATTGTCTGGATTTTACCTGAGCTCTCTTAAAAATACTGAAAAGGTAAATAAGGTAGCCAAACATTTGGTTTCAGGTGCAAATTTTCATCTTTCTTCTCTCTCCCTCACCTAATTTCTCTACTCTCACTGCCAAAATGATCCCTCATTAGAACCTACGTAGCTAGAGCCACCCCCAATCCCTGCCTTCCCCTAGCTTTCCCTATGGGTTGGTGAGAAGCCAATCATGAGGAGGCAGGAAGGGAATATAGTAGGACATAGAAAGGATACTGTCCAGTTATAGTAAGAACTTGTGGCACTTATGGAATACTACTTAGTGCCAAACAATAAATGTCTTAGAGGCAGTAGAGCAAAGCAGTTAAGTGCATGGGATTTATGAGCTAGACCCCCAGGGTTCAAATATTAGCTTTGCTGCTTACCAGTTCCATGATCTTAGGCAAATTTCTTAACCTCTCTGTAGTTCAATTTCCTCATTTATATATCTACTAGAGGCCCGATGTAGAGTAGGCCTTCCTTCCTCTGGCTGTTGGCACTGGCTTCCCTCTGGTACCCAGGACCTGGGCTTCCCTCCTCCGGCTGCCGCAGGCACCTGGGACTCAGGCTGACTTCCCCTCGCCCCAGCTTGCGTCAGGAAGGACGTCTGGAATGACATCCAGAAGACGACCAGTCTAACTAGCATATTACCCTTTTATTATTATAGACTAGAGGCCCAGTACTTGAAAATCCATGCATGGAAGGGGGGGGGGGTCCTTCAGCTTGGTCTGTGCCCTCTTTGCAGGCTGGGACCCCTTGGGGGATGTCCACTTGCTGGCTTAGGCCTGCTCCCCAGGGGGACTGGGCCTAAGCTGGCAGTCAGACATCCCACTGGCAGCCCGGAAGCCCTTGGGGGATGTCCGACTAATAGCATAGGCCCACTCCCCAGGGGGTTAAGCCTAAACTGGCAGTCAGACACTCCTCTGGCAGCTCAGGAGCCCTTGGGCAATATCCAATAACAGCTTAGGCCTGCTTGAACATCCTTAGCGCTGCCGCGGAGGCAGGAGAAGCTCCCGCCACCGCTGCTGTGCTGGCCAGCTATGAGCCAGATTCTGGCTGAGCAGCACTCCCCACGTGGAAGCGCACTGACCACCAAGAGGCAGCTCCTGTGTTGAGCGTCCGCCCCCTGGTGGTCAATGTGTGCCAGTCATTCCCAGTCATTCTGCTTTTATGGTCAGTTTGCATATTACCCTTTTATTATATAGGCTATATCTCTTTGTTATGAAAATTAAGTCAGTTATAGTTGTAAAAGGACTTAAAATAGCACTTGATACACAGTAAGTGCTATATAATCATTTATTAAATGAATATATAAAATACAGATATGTGTTTATTTCTTTAATTTTGGTACAAATTTCAGTGTTTTGCATAAATCACCATCTGTTATTATTTTTACATAGGTAATGTGAAAACTGGGGCAACACACTTTGACTATACTTGATGAAAAATAGAAAATTATTTCATACCTCTACTTTGGATGCCAAAAACACACATGTAGGGGCCATTAATACAGGATCTATACTTTTCAGAGAATACCTAAAAAACAGTAAGACAAAGTTACATGCAGAAAAAACACTAGAAAAAATTAAGATAACTATGGCAAACACATGATTCATCTATACTAAGGTTCATCAAACTTATATAAGAGTCTCAAATAAGCATAACATTCCCAAAATAAAACAGTCCTACCTGGCATAGAATCTCTTGAAATAGACTGTAGCAGTGGCAATAACTTGTTGTCTTAACTTAAGATGTTCACCTAATGCTTGGATAACTAAAAAGAAAAAGTTTTAAATGTATTTTCTGGTATCCATGTGGTTAAATCATAACTATATTCATTTTTAACAGAGGAAAAACCTACACATCCTACAAAGCTCTACTTGGATAACAGTGTTAATACTAGAATTTACAAAAATATATGGATATGCATAAATAAAAACAAAAAACTGAATTGCCCCACAGCAAACACTATTCTTGTATTAAAGAAGTTGAATGATAGGAATTTCTCCTCTACCTTCTAAGAATTTCAATGCCTCTCATATTATTTTTAGAATATAAAAAGAAAAGATTAAATACCTATCAAACTCACTATAACTACCAACTTATAAGTTAACTTACAGATCCATAATGAATCCTCAAAACAAGAGGTAGGTTTGCAGAAGAGTGAACTGAAGGTTAGAAAGATCATGTGACAAAGCTACCATATAGCAGAGCAAGAATCTTTTGCCTCTAAATCCCCTTCCCTGCAAAGCAAACTTATAAGATAGGAATGCCCAATACAGGATGTCAATCCAAAGAATCATTTATCCTCAAAGTAATATCTGCTCTAGCCAATCTTAAATTGAGTTTAATAATGCATCATAAAGGCTTAGAAAGATTAAGGAATACTCTGAAACTGTCTTGAATGTTTCTGACATTAAGATTCAAAAATGACTTTATTTAGATCACATAAAAAAAAAGATAAATGAGTATGAGTTGTAAAAAGGTTACATATATAAATAAATATATTAAGTAGGGACTAAAACAGCTCATCACAAATTACTGCACAAAAATATTTTAATTCAGAGGTAATCAACTGTACCATTTCAACTAATTAAAAATTTTTTTTACCATTTGTAAAAAATATTTGTAATTTCCAATATTCTTCTTCTGAAAGAAACTTTAAGTCCTTTTGGCGTTCCTTCAACAGATCTTGTTCATCCAAAATCCATTGCAAACTAGAAGCAAAGATAAACATGCTATAGAAAAATCAACGAAGTCATAGAAAATATTCTAAGATCAAACAAGTTATTAACATTCCGAGAAATACAAAGTACACATAACCCTGAAAGACATTATTTTCCACATTTCTTGAAACTCCCAACACAGAATTATTTTGCTAGTAAATATGCCCTGAAATTTTTTATATTTTCTCTCTTCCTTCTCAGTCTGTCACTAATTTTACTGTATTTTCATTGATACTAAGATTCTGACAAAAAGATGCATCTTACAATCAGTGGTACCTCAGCCTTTTAAGTGGCCCTACTTTTATTCTTTCTTAGTAATACATAAAATAATGGTGAAGTTATTTGTCACCAACTGATGGTGCCTTGAATTTGATGAAGTATATCTTTTATCAGTTGTTCATGGGAATTGGAGTATTTAATTTTCCTACCTAACCATTTCAAACATGTTAAAAGCTGCTTCAGAATATATTCACTGACAGCCTCCTTCCTTCTGCCTAGTCAAGTCTACTATTTTTAACCAGATATGAAAATGACATGACCCCCAACCCCGGCCCCCCGCAAAACAAACTATTCTGCAACCTGCTTTTGTCACTCAATATGTATTGGAAGTATTTTAATGTCACTGAATTTATTATTCAGCATTCTTTTAAACTGATGAACAGCATTATGGATTGAATCATCTTTGAAATTCAGCCTTATATATTTGATTAATGCATCTGAAATAATTTCATAGAAGTAAAACTGATGGACCAGTTTTGCTGGTAACTTTGATATAAATTGTCAGTTTACTAGGTGTACCGGTTAATAATG